GGCTCACATATCCAATCTTTAACCTCCTTCAAAACCCTTGGGAAAATATTATCTGGCCCAGGAGCCTACTCATTCTTTAAACTTCCAATTTTTTATCAACCAGCTCAGAATTAATGCAGTCATCTTGTTTGATCTCGTTTCCATCTATCAGCTGTTCAAGATGTGGAATACTGCTTAAATCTTTGTTAGTAAAAATTGAAGAAAAGGCAAAATTTAATAACCCAGCCATCTCAAAATCATTAGATACAAACCTTCCTTTATCATCCCTCAAGGGTCCTAACCCTATCCTAACATTTTGTTTCCCCTTAATGTATTCACAGAAATCCTTAGTGTTAATTTTTACATTTTCAGACAACCTTTTCTCATTTCCTGTTTCACCAACTTTCTTGGTCTTCTTTAATTTCTAACTCATGTCACACCAGTCAATTTATATTTCTTAATTTTATGATGCTTTTCTTTAATTTTATTTCATATAATCTTTGTGAGCCAACCTAGTTTTATATTTGCAGCTACCCTTTTTTTTCTATAAGGAATGTTTACCTTGAATATTCAAAAATTTATCTTTAAAAATTTTCCACATCTGATCAGTGTCTCCAAATAATTCAGCTGCCCAATTCACAAGAGATAATTTTTGTCACATCCCTTCAAAATTTTTTTTTTGAAAGTTGTAACCCAAATATCATTATTCCTTATCTCCATATGCAGCAAAACATTGAACCTAATAGAGCAATGATCACTAGCACTCGGATGTTCCACAATTTCCACCCTCTCAATCATTTCTATATTTGTAGTTAACAATAACTCTTAAATAGCATTGTTTCTAGTAGGTTCCTTGACGAACTGGTAAAGAAAGCCATCTTGAACAGTTTCCAAAAACCTTTCTCCCTCATGGTTTAACTCTAGCATTTCCCAATCTATATGTCTGAAATTAAAATCACCCATAATTATGATCTCATTAACAGCTGAAATCTTAATCTCATTGTAAAGTTTCTCACTAATTTTATCAGCATCATTTAGTGGTCTGTAACAATTTCCCACTAAAAGCTTTTTCCCTTTATATCCATTAACAGACACTCAAATAGATTCAATCTTCTTGCTATTATGTTTGATATCCTCCAGTTCAACAGGATGTAACTCACATTTTACATATAAAGCCACTCCCCCCCCTCTTTAATACTCTGATATTATTGTTTGAAGCACTCACGCATATGACTTTTCATTCTAGAGGTGGGGGTGGAGGGGATAGAAATCCTACAATTGAGCTGTTTAATCCCTTTTTTTTAATTGAAAATAAAATTCAGGTTATCTTTTTAAGGAATGTTTTAAACAAATATTCCTGTATGTATTTGCGTGCATGATGTGTATTAATAACCTTTGAAAATGTACATCAAAATCTCACATTTTTTGTTTTCAATATATTTCATAAAATATTTTGTACACAAAAATTTTACAAAAACCCAGTAACCCCAAAAACTAATGTCTGACAGATCATTCTTTATTAGGGCAAATAGTACTTGAAAATCCTCATATAAAATTTGATTTTAGGCTCTTAGTTTTTTTTAGTGTCTATTTTTAATTGTTTCTTGGTATTGACTATATGAAACACTGCTGAAAATAAATTTCCTTATCAGTCCAACAATTGCTTGAATAGACTTCTTGTACTTACTGATTTTATTAGAGATTTCCAACACCTCTTGTCTTAGTGGCATCGTTTTTCATCAGTGAGTTAATATAACCATGGCTCTGTAAAATAATGAAACTTTTTTTTCTTTAATTACTTTTATAAGAATGTCAGGGTTGCTGCATATCATTGAATATTAATGTCTGAGAGTGGGGTAGCCATACTAGTGTCATGCTTCTAGTTAACATAGACATCTTCAATAGAAAAATATGTAAGAAGTGAAACAGTTTAGGAACTTTAACCATATAGGATTTAGATCTCCTTCCTTTAAAATGCAAATCAAAGTTGAAAACTATTACCATCTCTCTGGGTCTTTTTTTACCCATATTTCCTTAACTTCTACTCCATGAGAAGTTCATAAAATTTATATTCTTATCTCCTTTAGAATTGTTTATAGAACATGGTAGATGACATTTTATTAATGATTATGGTACTACAAAATTCTCAGATTTTATATATTTTATTTCTGGAAGATGAAGTTTTGAGCTAGTGCTCATTGTCAGACTGTAAAGTTAGAAAATTTGCTTTTTTATAACAAAGAGTACTAGCGTGATACATCATCTTCCTGAAATAAAAATATATAGAAATTGATGATTTTATAACCTATTCATTAATTTCTGTATGTTTCTTGCCTATATTTTCTTATTTTTACCCATGTTAAGCATAGAATGTTTACTCTGATTTACTAATTTATTGTACTACATTATATACGGTAATGATGAATTGAGGAACTACAATCTCCAATATACACTGAAAGTTCCAAAATTCAGTATGGTGGTCATGTACGTCTCTTGTTGGTAAATATTTACTGAAATGTAGGCTGTTGCTTAAGAAAGTTTATGAAAGTCTTATCGAATAGCTACATTTCATTTCATGTAGTTGATAATTTATGTCCTTGATATTTATGTATTTACTGGGAGGGAAAATTAGTTTATATAAGAAAAATTAACCTCTAAACAGTGCTAATTCATTAAGAAATTAGAGCAAAATTTTCACACAAGAGTGAATATTTAATTTCCATAAAAAAGTTGAAAATGAAAATATATTTCTATATTTAAATATTTTTGTCATAATAAATGTGATTTTTTTACAGATTAATGGCTGCTTTGATTTAGTTATTCAAGAAGAAATTTTGAGATGGAAAACTGAGAAATACTTCTTCCAAACAATCATATTAAAAGCCACTGTTATTGAGAAACAAACATGTATGTAACCTTTTAAATATGCTTAGTTTTTAAACACTTAAGACATCATAGAATATTAATTTCTTTTATTTATACAAGTGGAAGAAAACCTAAGTTGAGTAATATTCAATTAGAATAGAAAAAAGAGAAAAAGTGAAATGTAAGTATATAGTCAGAGTCAATTTTGTTAATAAAATGAGTGGTTTATAAAGTTTCAGAGTATATAATAAAACGACTTATAGGCTGTAGTATACACTATATTCTAGACTATTAATATACACTATACATTGTGCTACATCTACTTTAGTTTTCATGATTGGTATTCACAGTGTCTATTAATATCTTGCAAAGAATATAATTATATCAGTAAAATATGATAAAAAAACAGTAATTACTTAGAAATGTTGATGAATTTGATGACAACAGCCAGCCAATACCAAATTACTGCATGATTTTACATGTTTCTTCACCAGTTTGAAACTACAGTTTCAAATATATTAACATCCATATTAAAATCTTGAATGACAGAATGACAGTGTTGACATTGAAAATTTTGACAGGATTTTTCTTGATTAGTAGAATATCTCTGATGAATAATTATTTAATTGATTATTAAACCCTGGAAGAAAACACTAAAACTGTTGTAACTTTATGTGTAATAATTTTATCGTTGAATATCTAAACTTTTGTGTCTGTTACAGATGCCATGCAAAGTGTCACTGAAGAAATTAACCTAGTTGTTGTACCCATTGAGCTGACTTTTCCAAATGTGGATCTGCACTCACCTCATTTTCATTTAAGCCTTCCATATTTTGGAAAAGTGAGGGATTTTATAAATATTTTATTTTGAAATTTCTCTGTTTCATTTCATAACCTATTCTTTAACATTGTATTGTCAATAACTTATATTAAGGATAATATGTGTTAATTTGTTAAATAATAGTTGTGTAGTATATAAAGTATAGTAAATATAAATTGGTTGAAAATAATGCATAAGGTTGATTGATGGTGAGACAGAATATATGATTCTATCTGTTTTGAGGGGAATGAGTAGAATAACAATATATTATTTTGTTGCTTCATCATTTTTTTAATATTTCAATGTCTAATATTTAGTTGAATAAATGTTTTCCTTCAATTTTGAATTACATCATGTTCCATTTAATTCAGTAAAAAAATAATGATGTGGTTAAAGACTTAAATTCTGATGCTTTCAAACATCTAGGTTAATGTAAACAAGCCTGATGGTAAACCAGCACCAGGAGAAATTATTGAAATTTGTTATGAAGCTTATCAACAGTCCAATATGCCAGCATCTAAACACTGCAAGAATTTTACTTCAGAAGCTGATGGATCAGTAGAATTTGTTATACCTGCTCAACCAAATTTCATTCAAGGGATTTATGTAGAGGTAAGATAGATTCTTCAATTAAATCTTTTTTGTTGTATGCATATGATTTTACTCTAAAAACAAGTAGCAAATTCTTTGTTTATGAAAGCTGACATATTCCCATAATTAAACCAGAAAAGCCCAGTTGTTTGTAGGTAATCTGACAAAATTAGATTTGAATAAATTGTGGTTAAAAACATGGTTTTGTAGTAATTGTAAACTTGAAATCATAGAACTTCAGAAATTTTTACTAAAAATGTTATTCAAGATAATTTAAATTAAATTGTGAAACTTTTTCATTTAAAGATGCTAAAATGTAATTTATTAAAGTCATAAAACATATAGATAATATCATGTATGTTTTTGGCATTTCTAGGCTAATACTAATGTTTTGGAAATTCTTTTTGCACATTTGTTTAAACAGATTCACACTGCTGTTTGTTATTTTCATCATTTTTGGTGATTTTATTCATACAATGATCATTTTTTATAAAAGAATTTTAGAAACTGTTGCTTTATTTATGTAATTTTAAGTGCATTAAACCACATTGAATTTTAACTCTTCAAGTTTTTTATGTTATAAGCTCTAAAATTTATCAAATGATAGGATTTTTTTAACTTCTCTAAATTTAAACTTCTTTTTACTTTAGCTATAAAAAAATTCTCCATTTCGCCAATAAGAGTATCAAACCAAAAATCTCTCCAAGCAGGTTTATATATTGAATAGTACTAAGTATCTACCTTTTTAATAATCCTACAAAGACTTTTTCAAGTATTGTTAAACAAGAAGCACTTAATGAACCTCCAGGAATCTTTTTTTTGTCATTTTAAACTTTTCAAGTTGCATTAGGTTTAAGGAAAATTTCTACTTTTGGTTAACTACTATTGTCAAATTTGTCAGTCTCAGTTGGAATCAGTTTTTGATTTGAATTGTATTTTGCATTTGTCAAGCTGAATCAACATAGAGGACAATTTATTTCATCAATAATTATCAAACAGATACAGTGATGACTTGGTAAAAATATAAAGATACCATAATTGTTTACAAAAATTGTACAAGAGAATATTCGAACAAATATTTTTTTCATTCTGTCTTATTTTGTACATAAATAAATTTATTTTGCCCAAAATATTGATCAGCTTTTATTTCTTCTATGACATTTTATAATTTTTAGGTTTTTGAAATGCCTGTGCTGATTTATCAGTGTGTCAACATCTCTACAACATGTTTGCTATAATACTAGTCAATTTTGTTTATTGTGAGATATAAAAACAAATCTAAAGGTTTAATTGTATGATACTTAGGTAGAACTACAGGCAGAATTATATGTAATTAAATATAGCTACAACTGATTTCATCTACAGTTGGTGTCTTGTTATTTAAATGTCATGCTAATTGATGTGTTGTGAAATGTAGTAGCAATAGTAATTCACATTTTGAATTTTTGGCATTTTGCTATTAAAATACAGAGGATTGATGAGAGCTTAATAATGGAACTTTCAATAAATATGGTCTTTAGGCTGTGGCTACCAAGTACCCTAATGTTGATTCAAGAGGAAAAAGAGTTCTTTATCAACCTATGGAATCCTTGTACTTGACACCATGGTACTCACCCAGTGGCAGCTTTTTGGAGATTCTTCCTATTCACAGGATTTCAGAATGTCAAGATAAACTTAAGCTTGATGTGATTTACACAACAGATACTATTGAACAAGCTCCTGCTATGTTTGCTCAGGTAGGGTGTAATTTCATTATTCTTCAGTTCATCATGAAAGTCATTTAAATCATTTTAAGATGTTGACCAATTTGTTAAATTTGAAGCTGTATTTTGTTTTTTTCAGTACATTTTCATTATAGTAGGTCTGTTTTTAAATTCAGTGTAATGTAATATTCATCAAAAGTCAAATTAAGAAAGTTTTCCAATAGACTAAACACAAGTAAAATGTTTAGGTAGTACATAGAGTCATTACTTTAAGTCCACACAATACCAGACACTATTATACATAAATGGGACAACATGTAACATAAGATTAATATTTATCAAGTAAATACATGATTACAATTGTTTAAAGTAACATAACATAATGTTTAAGGACATCAAGGGACCTAATGGTCCATCTAAGCTGCCCCATCTTCTAAACTAAACTAAGACTATTAAATAGAAAAACAACAACCTCAAAGCCAGCCCTTATCATTCATATAGTCATCAATAGCTTAAACTCACTTAAATTTACCACCTCCACAACATCTGGAAACAACCCATTCCAGAGACCAACCACCCTGTTAGAAAAATAAAACTGTCTTAACTAAAGATGACTCCTACCATGTCAAAATTTATATTTGTGTTTCCTAGTTCTACCATTCTTGCTGTTAAGTAAGAAAAAGATGATACATCAACACTATCAATTCCCTTAACAATCTTAAATACCTCAGCCATATGCCCTTTAACTTTTCTTTTTTTCAAGAGAAAACAAGTTCAAAGATCTTAACCTATCCTTATATGACAAATCTCCTTCCAGGTATCATCCTAGCAGCTATCCTCTGAACCCTTTTCAGTATTTCAATGTCCTTTCTAAGATATGAAGCCCAAGACTGAGCAGAGTACTCCAAATGTGACTTAATTAATGACGTATACAATGACAATACAGCCTCTTTAGATTTGTATTCAATACAACCTAAAATCTTGTTAAGCCAGGTGGTGCCAACCATATACTTCCGCCTTCTAGCACTGATAGTTGTAACTGACATTCATCACTATTAATACCCTTAACAATCTTAAATACCTCAATCAGATCCCCTCTGACTCTTCTTTTTTTCAAGAAAAAACAATTTCAGAGATCTTAGCCTATCTTCATATGACAACTTTTCCAACCTAGGTATCATCTTGGTTGTTCTTCTTTGAACTCTTTCAGACAATTCAATGTCCTCTCTAAGGTAAAGAGCACAAACTGAACAAAGTACTCCAAATATGATATAACCAATAACCTATACATTATAGCCTCTTTAGGCTTGTATTCAGTACTTCTGTAGATACAACCTAAAATGCTATTTGCTCTACCACTAGCAGCAGTACGCTGCTTGGATGGCTTAAGAGACTGATCAACCACTACACCAAGATCCTTTTCTTTCATAACATTGACAAAGTTATTCCCATCCAAATTATACTTATAATTCAAATTATGATAACCCACATGCATTATCTTAGATCTATTATAATTAGAACCTAGTTGTCATTTATTTTCCCAACTCACTAAATTATCTAAATCCTGTGTAAAGCAACGACTTCCTCCTCACAGCCAGCAACACCCAAGACCTTAATATCATCAGCAAATTTAAGTAATTTTATAAAAGACTGTTTAGAGTAGATAGTATTATTTTTTGAGGGAATATCTCATGATTGTTTAGTTTTTTCATAACAAGAGAGTTAAAAGCAATTATTTTAAAGGCAATAGTTATGACAAGTTTAGTTACGTAACTCAGTAAGAATCGTACATTATGTTTATAATTCATTGATGTCGAGGCTATTGAACGTTTCATTCAATCGATTGATATTGAGGATATAGAGATTTCTAGAAGGCCTAAATGATAGATGTACAAATACTGGCAAGCAGATGAAAAAAATAGCAAAAGAGAGTAAAGTCACGGAAAGGATAAATTTAGTCAGAGAAATGTGCAAAGTTAATCATTATGGGAGTGAAAGGCCTAACTGTTGATATGTTAGAGTGAAATTAATAATTTCATAAGAGATAAGGAGAATAAGTTGTCTTGTCAAAGGGTGTTCTATGGTAATTGAACCAGCCTGAGTGGACTTTGACAAAAGGCAGACAATTCTTGGAAATACGAAAAAGGGGCAATTTTAAGAATATATATGCACTACACCTGGCATCTGTATCCAGGATGAGTGGACTATCTTGCCTGGGACTAAGTAAAACACATTGTAGTAATTAGTGCTTAGCTACAATTTTCAGTTCATTTACAATGCAAATCAACTTTAGTGAGAACAGATATCAGCTAATGTGCCAAATTCATAAAAGCACTGGTTCCTTTTGGTACCTGGAGACTTCAGAATTCATATGAATGTATAGCTGTCACTTCTGATTAGAACAGTAATTTGTCATTGTGGTGATCAGTCAACCTCACAAGGGTTAGTTTTCTCATGATAAGGTAGCTGTGATTGGAATTGTCCTCTAGTGACATCTCTTGTCTCCTCCTAGTTAACTATCAAAGAGGATTTACAGACACTGGCTGGTGACAGTCAGCCAAAGAGACCTTCTCACTCAGTCTCAGGATAGCTGAGCTTCACATTGCCACCAAGATCAGCCATTAACTCCTCTGGAAGTGAAGTCAGGAAATAGTACCTAATCAGCAGCTTGGGCAGCTGAGAAACTTCCTTATGGCTCTTTGGTTTTTATGAGACCTTCACATCCAGACTGTTCATTCCATCTGATCCAAATGTAGTTGTTTTTCAACAACTGCATTCTTCTCCATCACAAGCCCTTTTTCATTTTGAAAATGATATGTCTATGTGCAAGAAAAAGCTCATAACTGAGATTTATGATAGTACAAAAGACACAGAAAATCACAGTTTTGAATCCTGATCATGGCACAACTATGTCTTTAGTATTCTTAGATGTAGTAGACCTACAGGTAAGCAATTAAAACTACAAAAAATGAGGTTTTTAAGAATATATATGCAGAGTATAAAAATAAGTAAATTTTGACCTAAAATACAATGGATATAAGTGTTTTGGACATCATCAAGAACATGTATTTTACAATGCAGCAAATGTGTGGCTAATAAGTGGCACATAATCGTCTATGGACACTACACTTTTTGTTATTGGTAGATCAGCTTTAGTATATATATATATATATATATATAACTACTAAATACCATACAAGTTCACTTGAGAAAGACAAAGCCAAGGTTAAGTTGAATTGACAACTTCAGTAAATGCTCTTGACAAGAAATCTGACAAATAACTTCCTTTGCTTAAAATTATATTACAATTCTATGCTGCATTAGAACTTTTCAGAATGACATTTCATCAGGCAAGTAACATTGACAGAAAAGGAAAATCAAAGTTGCTGACACATGTAACCAAGTTGTCAGAAAACACATTAACAACAGTTTAGTGAATCATCCAACAGGAAAGCCAGGTGAGAAAAACAGACAGATCTTTGACCTAAGTCTATAAACTTGGTGACTATCTCTAAGGATAGGATTAGTGCAGTGCAAGGATGGAAATATGCTGTTCATCTAAAACTTGTAACTAAGGGTCTGTATTAAAGTACTTGTGAAAATTGTATGAATAAATATATTAGTTTATTATACTATAGACAGGGGCATAGCGAAGGAAGATGTACCCCCCCCCCCCCACGTACTCCATTTGTTAGCACAGAACCCATTTTCGTTGATTTCTGATTGGGGAAAGGGAAATCTTGGAAGAAAAACAAATAATTTACACCTTTTCTGTTTAAGAATATCCAGAAATGATGATTATCTTTTTTTTTATTTAGAGCATGCTATTTTGAAGAAAATATACTACATGTGTAATTTTTAGCTCTCAGTATGAAGTTAAGAACATAATAAACAAAATATTTTGAAACTAAAGTTCACATGGATATATATGTGATAAAAAATTTTTATTTTCTGCTACTTGATGGAGGAATGATGTTAGATATACATGACTGTTTAGATGGTTTAAGTATAGTGTGATTGTTAAATTTAGTTATGTTTAGAAGTGATTGTTTATCTCAGATTTGTTAATGTAACTGTTTTCAAATCGTATATTGTGTAGTTCAGTTGTTGTGGATTGATGCTTATTGTATTATTGTATCATGTTACTAGAACCTTCTACATTTTCTCTTTGTTTTAATTGAGTATTATTGTATTGTAATATATTGTAGTGTATAGGAAGTTCCAGGCCTCAGTCATAGAAAATGTTATCCTAATTAGTTATATAGATAGTAAGACAGAATTATTTCGATAGATAGTAAGACAGAATTAGTTCGATAGATAGTAAGACAGAATTAGTTCGATAGATAGTAAGACAGAATTAGTTCGATATATAGTAAGACAGAATTAGTTAGATAGATAGAGAGGTAGCCCTAGACTGCATAATTGTGAATTTAGCCATAAAGAGTGTATAGTGGTGACTTTTAAAGTGAAATTATCACAGATTGTATTGTAACAACAGAGCAGAGAAGAATAATTCATCTTGTCATTTGTGTTCTAAAGTAACTGAACCAGCCTTTGATGAAAAGAGACAATTATTTATAGCTCTGGATACAACTGTAGTAAACAACAGTCAGATGGACATTTGTATATACATTTGACTGTGTGCTGTTTATTTATTGTTGAAATTTTTAACAACAAGTCACAGATACCTGTTTTAAAGAATCCAGCCCATCCATACATACAAAACCTGATATATAGAAGTAAGTATATATTATAGCATTGAAATATTATTGGCAGGTGCCTATTTTGAAAAAGGTTACTATTACCTAAGCTAATAATCTCCATCACTCGTGTTTGGACCTAAAGTATCTGAGTGATGACTATTTTTTTTTCTTTACTTACATTACTTTGTGAGTTTTAAGATTAATTTGAAAAATAAATATTTTCAGATACAATATATAGTTTTATTTTTAGCCCATTTTGAGTATTTTATTGTACATAAATTTATTTTATATGATGTATCAATTGTTTGAGAAATGTCATGTTACTGGTTTAGTATAGACTTTTTTTTTACATAACAGATGATAAGAAGAGGAATTCCAATGAAACCTGTTAAAGTAGAGCAACTTCACATTCAACAGTTGAATCAGAATAGTAAAATGTTAAAAAACATTATTGTGGATGAACAAGAAATGCTAAGTGATAGCTTCATGAAGAATACTTCTGTGAAAATTCCAACCTTGCCATATATTGCACATACTTCAATCGAACTTGCGATAAATGGATCACTCACTCCTATCAGCAGAGTAGTGGTATTCTTTGTTAGAGGTGATGGTGAGATGGTAGCTGACTCTACATTCTTCTTTACAGAATGCCTTAAAAACAATGCAAGTACTCTGTTTTAAGTAAATTATCTGGTTTCTTTCGTGTTGAAACATGAAGATTTGTATTTAACAAAATTATAATTTTTTTGCATATATAAAAGTTTTATATCTATTTGCACTTGCTATATTTATAGATCTCTACTAAGCTTCTGCAAATGGTTGTAATTGTTTCTATGTGCTGTGGAAATATTAATAATAATTTAATATATTTGATCATTTTTCATTTTTTTGTAGAATTTTTACTTTAGTTTACTTTCATAGAATAATAATTAAAAGTTAATTTAGCCTCATAATATGATTTCAGGTTAAACTCTCCCTTCAGAAAAATAAACATCTAGGTGCAAAGCTTAGTTTTGATTTAGAAGCTAATCAGAATTCCCTGTGTAATGTCCAAGTTTTTGATAAAGCATCAAATAAGGAGTCATCTAAATGGACTAAAGAAAAGGTATGAAATATTTTACCAATGTATCTGCAGTTTTTCTTTTGTATATTATGTGTCAGATGTTTTTGTAACAATTTGTATTAGGGAAGTTAACAATTCTTATGGAAAAAATAACAAAGTTATTGTATGTACATCATGTCTTGTAGGAAATATGAAAACAGAGTAAGAACTATAAGGAATTTTATAATTATTAACATGTTAGATAAAGTGTATATTTTTAGCTTGTGGTATACAAAATTATAAAAATTACTTTATCAATAATTAGCTGTTTGACATTCTTCGATATCAAGACATTGGACGTTACAATTATCCCTTCCAAAATGGACAATGTCAAAGAACAGCTGGTGAATCAGGTAATTGGTTCCAAACACAATTTATTGATTTTACTGATAGCTAAAATGTCTAACACATTATTATTCAAACTTTTGATTATTGTTGATGTGAGATGTAGTATTTCTTTGCCATTTAATTGGAGAAAGTTGATTTTTAGTGTTGGTATTTTTGATATAACAGTCTCAGAATCTTAGCTTTAAATTTTTATTATTATTATCTAAAGATGTTGTGTTTGTGTGACTCAGCAGATATGAAAAAATTAAGAACCAATTTTGAAGATAGTAAAATATAGTGTGTTTTAGATCATTGAGTGTTTATATTGTGAAGGAACATTGTAATTGATTTTATTAGTTGAAACAAAACATGTTAGAATTAGTTTTGTTGTTGCACATGCTTAGTTTAGATGTGTGTTCTCTGTAAAGGTTACTGATGATCAATCCTAAAGTTAGAAACCTTTCAAACAAAACCAAAGATATATTACAGTACATTGAATGTTAATTAATTAATTAGTTGCATTAAATTCTCTGTAAAGGTTATTGATGATTAATCCTAAACTTCGAAACCTTTCAAACAAAACCAAAGATATATTACAGTACACTTGAATGTTAATTAATTACTTGCATTAAATTTCTTTTTTGAATATTACAATGCATATAAAGAAGATTTAAGTACATTTATTTTATACATTAATATTTTATCTTAGATAACTAATATGTAAAGATATTTCATTTTAATAAATTAAAATGCACTAAGATATAAGTCACTGTTGATGCAAGCAAACTGTTTTTGCAGTTGGAAAAAATAATTTGTGGTTATTCTATAATGATTAGTTATTACTGAGATGTTTTAGAAAGTACTAGTCTCATATCCCTCAAGAAATAACACTTATTTTAAATATGAGGTTATGGAGATGATGTCAGTATAGTTGACTGTGTGAATTTATGTGAAGAGACTAAATGTGGAGACAACAAATTCAGTGTTAAAACATTTGTTGAGCATTATATAAAACAACACATACAGATCAGAAAGTTTTTCACTTAACAATTATAAATTACTCCTTAATCTTTTTTTAAAATTTAAATTCCATCTGTGTTAATTAGTATATGTATTTAAGACTCTGATATATATATAACCTACAAATAATGAACTTACTGAAATATGAAGTCTTGCTTCTCATTGAATTTAGCTGTAGTCTAGGTAAGTTGAGCTTGCAGTGCTACCAAGTCATGATAGACCAAGTCTCAATATTAAAAGTTACCTAAGTGTCTAGGACAAGTGAAAGTTTGATTCAAGCAAATAGGTCCAAGCCCTTACCTATCCTTATGGACAAGCGAAAAAAACTGTTGCTTCTTACATTAGTTTGGCATTTTCACTATTGACAGATAATTGTGTGGTAATTTCAAGGTTAAATCAAGTTCACAGTTACGTGATCTCTGATAAGCTTAGAAGTTTGAGAATTTTGTACTTTAAATAATAAGTGTAATGATTTGTTACAGGTTAAATGAAAGAAACAAGTCATTGATGCTGAAAACAGAATACAACAAAAAACTTTTAATAAACCAGAAACAGAAAAATGAATGGCAGAGATGGTGTTGGACTATTGCCTTGTATAAAAAGAAAATATAATCAGATGAAAAAGAGTTAAACTGTGTTTAAATTAAGAGTGTAAATAAAATATAACTGTTTAATAAACTATGAGTGGAATGGATATATTAAAAACAGAATGAAGCAATACACAATCAGCAGGCACATAAATGTTAAGACAAGGAATTTCACAGCAAGTCTTGATTACAAAATTACAAAAAAGAATCTCTCTTCTCAAAGGTTGAAACAGTTCTGCTTTGAAGCCATCAAAATTACATTTACAACATACATTAATTTGGTAGCTCACCAGTCAGAAAACAAGAAATGCAATGCAAAAATGTTTGGTCCATGTGACAGTAAAGCAGGATATAATGCAACTATGTTATAAAATAGCAGATCTTTGATCAGATATTTAACAGAAAGTAACACCTCAGGTTTTAACTACATTGGAATACTGACAGGTGATTGTAATTGTATCTAAGATTAAAATATAATGGTGCATTGTACTTTTGGTGAATAAGGAGAAATATTTGTGATACACTAAAAAGATATCAGAATTAACCAGAACTCTTTGCAGCTTCAACAAGTGAGGATATGTTGACAAGACCTCATCATTCTTCTTTGTATGGTGATTCCCTTGTGGCCTTTGATGTATGTAACTTTTACTTTTCTATACATAATAATTATATATAAGTTATTTTTTTATAAAATATGTCTCTTGCATAAATAGTGAACCATTTCAGTTTGATAAAACACTTTTAAGGTTAACAGTTTATTCAACTTTACTTTTTGTTAATTCTTTTTTTTAAAGACTGCAATTATTTCTTAGTTTTTATAATTTTTACTTACAGAAGCACATACATGTTATTCTGACATATTTAATTGTGACAGACAAAACATATGCTAAACTAGCAGATGCTGCTTGAAACAATTTAATTGTAAATTTCCTATAAAATTGTGATGAATAAATAAAAAGTGTGCAGTTAATTCAATGCTTTGGATCATAACATATATACAATATGATTGTCTAGTGGGCCATTTACAACTGTATTTTATCATTCCATGTGTTATTTCAATAAGGATAATTGCATGGCATTTCTCTTTATGCAAAAGAGGCTGACAAATGCTTGGGCTTCAATGCAATGGGTTCATCTAGCACAATAGAATGCTCAGGTTTACTAAGTAGCTGCTGGGACTTTTTCTGCTGGATGACACTGTGCCATGTCGTTTTATTGTGCACAAGGAAAGACTGATATGGAAGTGATTACTTCTTGACAGTTGTTATTTCTACAAGAAGTGTCAAAGGGGAGATATTTAAGTCAAATCAATTTATTCAACATGGTATATTAAAATCATGCATGTATATAATACTGACATAAAAAGAAAATATTTATAAGCCAAACAACAACAACAAATATACACTCGAGCATGTTCCTCTCTTTATGCATTTTTTCCATTCATGCTCCTACCTTTGAAATATTTCTTTCAATCAATTGATGGAGGAAGTCCCATTTTGTTTGTGATTTTTTCTCACAACAGAAACATTTATGTTCTTCATAAGTTTTTTCTCAGATTGATTGTTCAACACATACAAAAACTCATGAATCTATGTTAATATTGATATAAAATTTGAGGAATTGCAAAAAATTAATAATTTTCCTGCAGTGTACTCTTGAAAAGAACCATTTTAATACATAATGTTTTTTTTACTATGATTAATTGTTCAAGAGAGAAAAAACATGGCAGGTAGACATTTGGCTATTATATATATAGATTTAAAAACTAATTTTGTGTGATGAAATATTTATTTTTTTGTATATATTTGATAATGATTTATGAAAACTTAACCTTTTATGACCTTTTAATAAGATCTTTTATTTACAAGTAATATAATGGGCATTCTAGGGTAAGGGGTTCAAACTTATTTAGCTCTACTTCAGAAATTCTCATCTAATATATTAAACTGGTTTTCAAAACTGTATTTTTTTTCCATACAGATAAACAAAAACACCAAAATAATGTTTGTCAGTTGTTTATTATATATTAAGCTATTCCACGTATGAATGAAAAAATTCACGTGTCTGCACACACACACACTCACACACACATGCTGTAGATGAAATTGCTATGTGTTAAATATCCAAAATGAGTTTGACAGGGAAATTTAATTGGTATTTTTTTTTCTATTGGGTTACCAAACTTAAGTGCATAAGTTGTATGTTAACTTGCGAGTAAAGTCTGTCAAGCAACCTTTGTGACTCACTGCACTTTGGGGTTAATGCACTATAAGAGTGATGGTCAAATCCCACAGTTAAGTCAGACAACTGAAGAGTTGGTAATAGATGCTGTTGATTAGCTACCTTCCCTCTAGCTGTTTAGTTCCATATAAGGGGCAGATGTGCACATATAATGCTTTGTATAGCTTTACATGAACATTCTTGAACAAATATATTAAGCAACCAATGAGTTGTGAAAAACTTAAAGAAAAAATATGTTTTTCTCAAAACTTTAATGCTAACCATTATTGTCAAACTCAGTGTTGAACAGAACTGTAATATTTATTACCTTCAAACTTTTTAACATCATATTAGTATAGACGAGTAAGATGCCTGCTGTCTAAAGTGATACTGTTCACCATGACAGTTGTTGAATAAACTACTATTTAAAAAACATTTTCAAATAAAAACCTGTTTCCAGTGAGCAGAACTATGTTTATGAATTTACAACACTAAAATCTGGGGCTTGTTTCCCCACAATGGACAAAGCTAAGATAGCTTATTGTGTAGTTTTCACTAAAAAACAATAACAACAACAGAAATATTGCAAATGTTAGTTTTCTAAATAAAACAGTTTCAATTTTGTATGATCATTTATAATTTGTATGGAATATATAATTGAAATTAAGCACTTACTGTGCTGAACTAAGATACTAACTATGCTTTGGAACATTAATATTCTTCAGTTTTTTCCTTTCAGAAACGTATGCAAAAGTGAAGATTTTAATAAAAATGTTAATTATTTTTTATTCATTCTGAAGGATGCTGGTTTGGTGGTGATGACAGATCTAGCTTTAGAAACTAAACCCTGTATTAGTTCTGATGAATTTTCATATCCCATCGGTATGTAAAAAAATATTTCTTTATACATTTGTTTTGGTTGAAGATGTAAAATAACATTTGTTATATATTCACGTTATCATAAGCATATATGGAAATGAAATATAATGGCTCAAAGCAGATTGGGTTATAATGTGTTTAAATCTCCATCAAAAAATGTTTTAGAAAAAGTAAAAAGCCAAAATTCTGCTTTAGCTCAAAAAGTATGTGATATCTCATTAACACAGCAAAATAAAACAATTTAGCATTACTCACATTTCATCATTTTATTCATGTTCTTTAAAACTGAATTTACATTCTGTTGGCAGAATTTATTCAGCATAACTCAGTGATGATTCTTAGATGAATTAAAAGCCAACCTGAATGTAAGTTCAGTTTTACAACACATGAATATAATGATGCAATGTGAGTAATGCTAAGTTGCTTTATTTGCTGTGTTAATGAGATATGACTTACTCTTTAAGCTGAAACATAATTTTGGCTTTTTGTTTGCTCAAGTATTTTGGATGTATTTCATGTATTTCTGTGTGTTACATCAACCCAAGACACATAAACTGTAACTATTATTGCTCAACTAGACCTTTAAAGAACATAGTTCATACAAGTAAGTCATATGCGTATCAAGATATTACATTATCAAATAGATTACATAGGATTGGAATGTGCATTACATTTAAGGCTGATGACATGTGAGAAAGAATTGGAAGCAGCACTGACACTGCATGGCATTCTCGTTCAGAGATGAGCTATGTGAAATGAGCTTTTGGTATGAGAATGCTTAGATTCTTATTAATTGATGTTCTTTCTCACCACTGATGTAGCATGCTCTCAAGAATGAATATTTATTTACAACTAAAAAAGAAGTACATAACTATGTAACTGTCTTAGCTAAGTAGGTACAGACTGAATTCATTGCTTCATACAATTAGTGCTAGTATTAGTATATATCATAAAATGTGAGAGAGAGATGAGGTAAGAATCCAGTTAGGTCCTCAGTTTGCAAGCACTCAATCTGGCATTTGTTACTGCACTTGGCATGCTTACTTTTTGAAGAGTTGCTTTGCTTAGCAGTGAATAATGGTAAAATACAGGTTATTTTGAAAAACATTTTAAAGCAAATTGTACATTTTTGACAATAGTCTTTGAAAACATCTGTCACTGAATCTTCCTCTTCACATTCTTATCACTAAAAAAAATAATATTGCACCAATTTTTTTCTTATTGTTGGACTCTGATTGGTGGTACTGAAAATATTGAAACTTTCTAGAAAACTTAACATGGCTCTACAATCAAAAGCAGGCACAAATAATGAATGAAATTTTTGCTGATATATTCTAGAAGTACATAATATTTAGGATAAAGCAAAACTTATAAATTTTAAATCTGGAGAAGAGTAATAAACACCCCTATTTTATGAGAAAACAGCAAATACTACAGTAATTTTATTCCTTCTTTATTTTCATTACATTTAGTTTTATACTCTGTATTGTACATTGTGTAAAACTCTTTATTTTCAATTATCATCAATTAATTAATTCTCTACTACGTGTAAGTGTATCATTAGTAACACCAAAAGACTTTCTGAATTATTTATGGTATCATGTTTTTGTCTTTCAGAATGTTTAAAACATTCTCATAAATGATTACTTTTTATGAATTTTTTTTAGCAAGGTACAATAAAAATGACAGTAATCAATCCTATGGATGATGGAAAATGTTTGATCATGTGTAGATGTTATTTTGTTTACTCAAACTTATAAATTTCAGCTGTTGCTGCTAAAGGAAATAGCTATTACAATGGACGTAAGTCAGCTATGGAAAACCTAAATACATATTTTATCAAAACTCTGTTCTGGGATTTAGTGGAAGTAAAGTAAGTAGCTTGCTAAAATGTTTTTGAATGATCAGTTATTTATTTATCATGTTAATGAAATGTATTTTTTTCATGGAATAGGCTGTATAGTATTTTAAATGTGAAAAAATGATATTGTTTCTAAATTAAAGTATAAAAATAATAATTTTTTTGCTTTTCATTCTATGTAATTTTATCTTTGCCTAAACATATTAAGGCAATATTGTTTTGATATGTATGGGCATGTCTGTTCTAAAACATCTCAGGATCAGTTAACTAGAAGTGTTGATTATAAAACAATTGCTGACATATATATATCCACATATACTTATCATTCATAAAGTCTCATATTCTCAGAGCAGATACATTTGTTGAGGTATTTGTTATAAAAATTTCATCTCGTCTAGTGGGAAAACTGAAATTGAACATGATCTTCCTAAAGAAACAACTAAGTGGAGTGCAAATGCTATCTGTTTGAGTGATATCTCTGGCATTGGAATTAGTGAATTAGTCAATGCTGAAGTTCACAAACCATTTTATCTTGATCTTATTACTCCATACTCCATAGTTAATGATGAAAGTGTCGAGCTGAAGCCTATGGTCTACAATTACTTACCAGAATGCCTTCCTGTAAGTTATAACTCTGTCTATAAAATTTAATTATTGTTAGTACAGTATTTATTTATTTATTAATTTTCTTATATTAATAACTAAGTAATGAATATATAGACAAAAGTGTTAGAAAAGGCAAGCACTTTGAAATAGGTCCTTTTATTATCCTGATTTGAATTCAGATTCAGACCAACAAAATCTCATGTAAGTTTAACATCTCCATTGTTATTGTGCACATTAGGTATTACTGAACAAACTAGTATTTTGAATTTGAGTCGCTATAAAAATTGTTTTTAAAAAAATACCTGCTGTGAAAAGTCTAATTGATTTTCTACAATGCTTGTTTTATAGATTTTATTAGAAACTACTTTTTTTGAAAGAAATTTTTGGAATATTAACTTTCATTATAGTTTTTCTTATAGCCATTTAATTCATTTAAAGAACTTAGTTAGCTCTCAATAAGCAAATGCCAATTTGTCTATTTTTAAGCATTGGAATTGTTAAGCTCATACACTTGTTTGGCATGAGTGCATAATTACTACTGGATCAAAATCAAATTGTCTGATGATTTTACTATATATGAAAATACCTGTTTTCACAGTAATGTACAGACGACATTAAAAGGATGGAGGATCATTGACAAAAAGGGTACTTTTCAAGTACTGCAAGGCAAGAATTTTTTTTTATGAGGTGCTAGGGGAAACTATGGTACACATATGGTAATCAGGCATGTCTTTTAGTAGTTTTGGACATTTTTTATGACTGGAGAAAGGCACTTTAGGGACATAAAAGCAGAAAGACTTGGGCTTGAACCCACCCACCAACTTCCCTGTGCTCATTACTGTTTTCATAACATGGTCTCTAATGTTTGTTACACTTTCTATTTGTATAATTACTTATACATTGTTTTTAAGTCGGCAGAAATAAATTTCATTCTTCTACAAAGAAATCCCATTCACAAATGCTAGTTTTACATGTGTGTGTGTGTGGTGTTATTGATCCATTTTTTAATGACTGAAGTTAAATTATTGAAGGAACTATAAGAGCTTTTGAAAATTAGTGTTTTGTTGAATATAAAATGTAATTTAGATTACTTCGTAGCTTCTTCTGATGGTGGAAATATTCTAATGAAATATTGTTTTATAGTTGTTATTGGTACTCAATCCCATTTAGCTGAACAACTCCACCATACAAAACTATTAAAGCTGTAACATCACAGTTGTATGAAACATACATATCTAGTGTAGTGTTTCTAATTTTTACCATTTTTTTCTAATTTAGTTAACATTGACATTAACAATAGAAGATTCTGAGCAGTTGAAGGCACAAGGTAAAACTATGCAGTCTATTTGTGTTTGTGGTAATGAAAGTAAGACAGTCAACTTCAAGGTCAAAGGCCAAACCCCAGGAAAAGCCATTGTATCTGTGAAAGCATCATCTAACAAAGATAAAAGTCAGTGTGACAAAACACCAGTGTCTGACAAACATTTTGAAGACATAGTTTCAAGGAATATTCAAATTGAAGTATGTATGATATTTTAAGTAATAATTACAATTTATCAACTTTGTTATTTTATACTGTACATGTACCATTTTCTATAATATCTTTTAGCTGTTATAAATAACTATGTAGAATCATTACTTATAAACAGATTCTTTTGTATGGGAAGTACGTTTGCAGCTATTATTATTATCATCATATCATTGTTGTGATTTTACAATTATTTAGAACTTAAACAAAGTAAAAGTGGAGGATTCAACTATGCTTTCCCATATTTAAAACTGATGATTCTAAACTTTTTAGCTAAAGAAAATATAAAAGACCTGTGCATTAGAAGTCATTTATTTGTTGTTTTTATTATAAACAGTTGTTACACTGGATTAATAAAACAGTATGACATTTGAAAAGCTGCTATTAGCAATAATGCTGTTCTCAGTTTCTACTGCCATAAAAAAGATGTTTCTAGATATGTTATGTGTGATGACTTAGATGATGATGATGCATTATTGTTGTTTATATTACTTCTAGAGAAAGGGAAAAAATTTGGTTGCTTACTGATGTCAAGTTTTATAGGGCTGAATTCTTTACAGTATGTGTATATGTGACTTTTAGATGATAAATTTCAACACTAAATGGACAGCACACAATGCACTTGTTTTAAAATAATATATTCAATACAACTCAAATGTATGTACAAAAATTTGTTACACTATTGGTTATCACAGTTGGATCCAGAACTTTAAATAATTGTCTCCTTTTTGTCCAATTCCATACAGGTGGGTTCAATTCTTTTAGAACACCCATTGACAAGACAAACTATTCTGGTCTATCTCTGTTATTACAATACAAGACCATGACATTCAATTTAAAATCACCACTATAACTGATGGTTATCACAGTTGTATCTAGAGCTTTAATTAATTGTCTCCTTTTCATCAAAGTCCACACAGGCTGGTTCAATTACTTTAGAACACCCTTTGACAAGACAAATTATTCTCCTCAATCTCTGTTAGTACAATACAAGTTGTGAAACTCACTTTAAAAATTGCCTGTTACACTCTTTATAGCTAAATGCAGTCTATCTTCACTTTTTGCACTTTTACTACTTACTTTCACAAACTTACTTATTCTCTGTATATGTATAACACGAGACAGAAAAATCTAAAAATATCTAGCCCTCTAGTAACACCAATATTGCACATAACTAGAAAAAGTTAGAAGGTTCAAGTAAGATGATGTAAATAATATCACAAAAACCTAGTACAAAAATTAAAGTACTTACATAACATATGACTTGTACAGAGTCACGTAATGGAACTTGTCATAACTATCACTTTGAAAGTCATTAACTTTTAAGACCTCTGTTATGAAAACTAAATAATCATTAAATATTAAATCACTAAATAAACTAGATAATAACTCTTAAGCTGAACAGTCTTGTATATCCAACAACTGACATCACAAAGACAAAAGACATATATTAAATCCAATGTAATCTTGCTTTTTTTTATGCTTGCATAAACACTTTAGGTAATATTGCATAAAAATGCTGTTGAACTGTGGATGTGATACAAAATTGTTTTAGATTATTGCATCATGAATGATATTTACAGTCTTTTAATAGTCTAGGAAACACCCCACTATAGGTATCCTTTTAAAATTGAATACATCTTTAGGCCTGAAATTAAACAAAATGCAAACAAGACATAGACATTTTACTGGAAAATGCAAACTTAAATAGATTCTCTTATATTATTCCAAGTCATTTACTTAAACAAAACTTATATTTATAACAGCTAATCAAATTTTAACTATATTATATTTTATGATCATTTTTCAGTTACCACATGAAAAACATATTATAGACAAAAACTAAAGTAAAACTTTTTTTTTACATACTATGAAGACATGATACTGATTTTAATTTAATTTAAAGTTGTGCAAGCAAACTTTATGCGGTGGATGTATTAATGAAGAAACATCAGTGCTTTGGTTTGTGCAATTCTTAAAATAATAGATCATGATTCAGTTCAGTGTAGCTAAAAAGTAAAAATTTATAATTTTTTTACTGTTTATGCAAGCAAAGATTACAATACTTTCAATAATTCATTTTGAAGAAGTAAATAATATATTTCTATTTCATTACAACAAAAAATTAGAAATACCAATATCTTGACCATCATAGTGTACAATACATGAGTGTGGAATAAATTTCAAGTTAAAATAAATAAATAATATCTTTAAATAACAATTTTACTCAGAGGTAACACAATAATTTGTTTTTATTTTGTTTCATTTGTTTTTTGCTTTTATATCCTTTGGGTGGCTATGTAGAAAAATATATATATTTTTTTTTTATCTCAGACTAATGACAAATCTGATACCATCGATAAACCTAGACATAACTTCAACATTAAGATTTCTGGTGTTGACATTGGATTGGAGCATTGTGGAAAACGTCGTTTAACACTATGTTTGAGGTTAGTAATTTAATATAAAGTTAATAATATATTGTATTTATTTTAATACTTAAGTATTTTCAGCTATATAAAAAAGTTTCTGGTGTTTTGATATATATTTGTATAAATTCATAAGATAGTTCTGTAAAATTATTAATTTTTATTGTTTTTTTTAAATGCTGTATTTTTATAGTGAAACAAATGTGTCATTATTTAACCATTGAGTTGGAAAAATTTATGTTTGTACTACTTATATATTCCAGTATTATATTGCATTTAGTTTACTTTCATGTACAATTTACATAATAAAAATTAGTGTTTTTCTTTTAAAAATATAATGGTGAATGCAACACTTCTTACTATAACACTTAGGTACACTTTAAAAGTGTGATTTAAAAAAAGTGAAATAACACTCAAAGGTACTTTAAACTAATAATGCAACAATAAGGCAATCTGACTATTGGAATGCCAAATAATGGTTTAAGTTCAGAGTAAATACTTTCTCTTAGCTTTAAAAAGTGCAGAATAGTACTGTGTAACTAAAATTGCCTTTAAAGTGATTTTACTTAAATCTAGATAGATGAAACAGAAGTTACTTCTTTATTGTTACTTTCATGAAGAGTATTGATTAGTATCTAATTTTATTAATTTTGAAATTTACTTTTTTTAATATACCTTTATTATAGAAATTGATTTATATCATTAGCTTAGTAAATATATTTAGGACTAACCTAAATGCCCTATGCTGGCCAAACCTTGTAAGATATTATTGGGGCTACGGTTGAAAATATTGTTAACAGCAATGATATACAACTAATGAAACAATGAATTCTAATCTTGATAATTAAGAATGTAAGAAAAATATCATTACCATATAGATTTTCAGTTTTGCTCTAAGTAAGTAGCTTGTTCTGATCAGAAGTTAATATCAATAGCTTAAATTTAATGGTTTTGAACAGTTTATGAAAAAATACATGCTTGAGGAGTGATTCATTATCCTATTAAAATTTTTATATGTATTGAATTTCTGAACAACTTATTTAGTATTTTCAGCAAATTAGCCTATAACCTATTTTTAACACTTTCTTAAGAGTTATAGGGTTTTGTATTTTTATTTTGAGCCTAGATATATGCCTGTGATTGTATTATTTTCAAAAGTTAAATTTCATTTTGCAACTTAATATCTACTTTTTATTTAAAACCTAAAATATATATAAAAACAACATGATTAAATAATTTATGTTATGCATTTTAGATGGTTTTATTACAACACATTTATGAGCAATATTTAACTTCTTCATGCCTCTCTAACAAAAGTTCAAAACTTATTTGTCAATAACAGACCAGTTGCACATTGTGCTGACTTGTCTAACAACATCATCCATTGTACATGTATGAATAAACAAATAATTTATAAATTTGTAATGTTTACATTATTTTAAACAAATAAACTGGATATCCTTCTTGAAAGCCAGAAGCAACATAAAATAGCAATAACATAAAGCTATGTTTTGGAAGTTTTCCTCAATAAATGTCCCCTGCTGGGACAGCAGTAAGTGATTTACACTGCTAAAATCAAGGGTTCGATTCCCCTCGGTGGACACAGCAGATAGCCTGATGTGGCTTTGCTATATAAAAAACACACACCCTCAATAAAATATATTAGAAAACTGAAAATAAAATTATAGGAAACAGAACGTTTTATTTGAATTGTTTTTAATATAAAATATTTTATAACAAACAGACAATTTTGCTTCTTTGAAGTAGCTTATGCTTTTTTTTATATCTTTTTTTATATCTTTACTTGTGTAGCTAAAGATAAATAATGCATTTAAATACTTTCAGAGCTCCTAATGTTTTTCATTTCATTGGAAATATATACTAACATTTGATTGAACACATATTTTTAGCCGTACAAATACCACTGCTTCTCCATCTATGGTTGTGGCTGATATCAAGATGCCTTCAGGATTTGTTCCTGACTACAAGAGTTTAAATGAGGTATTTTCTAAATGAACCTTTGAATGGATCATTATTATAATTTTTTATTTAAATACACCAAAATGCAATGAAATTTGAACAGATTATGTTTTAGGGATGAGATTACATTGAAAATAATTTCCATAAACCTAAAGTAATATCCATATAATTTACAATTTCAGCTTATACAGTTTACACCAGTGATATTTCATTTCCATGCTTATCAGTAACCTGAGCATTTAGAGCATATCTATAGGTTGAGTCATCACACTAAACCATTTTATGTCTGTATTATTTTTATAGCTATGTAACTTGGTATAAATAGTTTTATTTCACAAAATACCATAACTAAGTGCTGATGTCAATAACTAAATCAATATATGCACTTTCGAAGTAGAAATACCAACTGTCTTGGTGTATAAGTTGATTTTTGAGCTTATGCTGGGACAATTTTTAATCCTAATAGTTAATGCATCATCTTTCAGAAACATTTACTGATAAGTTATTATGTACACAAAACAAATAAACAAACTGATATTTTAAGAAAATTATTAGTTACATCCTGTTACCTTTCTATTAATTGGTGTTGAATCAAAACATTAATGCTCTGGAATAATACACTTCAGAGGTTAATAGGCATAACATTATAAGGGTAACAAACAATAGTCAAACTTGATTACTGTTATGAACTTGAATAATGGTTTTTACAGGACAGTTATATTATAGCAATTTGAGAGGTGGGATGTTCACTCAAACATTTTGCAAAATACTTAAGATATTTTTAACCTAAGACTTGTAGTGGCTGTATTATATTGAATAAATTTTAGAGCTTTACTCTATATTATTAAACATGAGCTCTCAAAAGCAACATAGTTTTTATAGTAATATCAGAAAAAGTATGTATAATCTAATTCCATTTAAAATTGACTCTAGATTTCAATTTATAGTTTGACAATTTTTTGTATGGGAGGGGCAATAAACCATGAAAGTTATCTTCTGATACAATGCATACCTCTTCTCACACAATAGCTTTTCTCGATCTTCCATTGCCATTTTATGCATTGAAAAGAAATTTTCTCCCTTGACACAATAGCCTTTATACCTTACAAGTTTGAGCTGCTCATTTAGCATGCATAGAGCATGCGACAACTCTCCACTAATAGGAGCATTACACACTATCCTAGAGCATCTGGCTCCTTCTGTACTACTTTATGTGACCCTCACTTTCTCGATTGTTGCAGTATGAGTCGGACATGTTTCTTGCTTGCTTTCAGTTTTCAATAATTTTTTTTTCCTGCTATATCAGATTTTGTTCATATTTGTCATTTTTATGAATATTTTTACTTTACAATTTTTTTGCATTTGGGTGTGTTACTACCTTTAGTTACTATTTTCTTATGATTTATTGTGAATTAAGTAATTGCGATTTACCGTGATTACTACCATGGCTCCAGCAGTTACTGGTAACATACAAACTGCTGTTACCCAGGCCTTGGGATCAATATTGTCTGCCAAGGACGTGCAAGCCTAGGTTTGTCAGGAGTTTGCTTTTTGCATGGTGTCTGGGCTTTCTTCTCCATAATGGCAAGTGCCTCTACAGGCTCATGAGTATGTTAAGGACGAGGACAATTTAGACAGCGTTTTTTCTGTTTCTTCCTTTGCCATACAGCCACGTCTTGCACCTTTGGAGGTGGTTCTTCCTTATAATCCTTTCCTCCAATTAATTATACAGGTTTGTCATATTTTGTATGTTTTTTTCCTGTTTCCTATGATGCATCAGATTATTTGGTGTTTCCCCATTCACCTGACTTTGAGGTTCATGCAAAGCAGTTTTTATCACAGTTAAGTTCTGGAGTTAGTTTGCCTCAACCCCCTCGAGTTTCTGACCAATACTCTTCAGATTTTTTTTTTTGATTCCCAATAATTAGATCTACTTTTACCCACCTGTGGCTTTAATCCTGAGTTTTCTGTATCATTTTGACAGGCACAATTTTCGAGGAGTTGTCTTACACTTCCGTAACATTGCAACTTTTGTGCAAAGCTTTTTGTCATTCTTCTGATGATTTTATTTTTGAGGACTTCAGATACTTTCTGTGGTTTACTTTGATGAAGATCTCTTCATTGGCCCTTTCCCTAATTATCTTGCTGATTTGTTGTTGGGATTTTTTGGAGAGAGACACACTGCTTGTGAGTGTTCATCTTCCCTCAGGGACTTCAAGATGGCTCTGTCTTTGTGGGTCACCATTTTTGTGGGCCATCCCACTTCTATGGAGTCCCATGTTGACATGGCCAGGTTGCATACTTCCCTACCATCCCTGGCTAATTATTTATCTCAACCTTCCTCCTGAATATGCTGATGAGTTAGGTCTTGTGCAGGGTCAGGCTCCATCACTTTGTTGCCTTTAGGAGACCTTCACTGCCGAATTATTGATTCTGTGGGTTTTGTCTGTAGGTCTTTCACTTCAATTCCAGTGCCACCTCACTTTCCTTGTCTCTAGTTCCTTACCCTCCTCCAAGGGATCCTGTCTCAAGTGATCGTCTGTCTGAAGCTGTGAGAATCCTCATTCTCAATAAAGCAATTGAGCCAGTGTTTTCCATTCAGCTGGGTTTTTACTTTCAGCTTTTCTTTGTCCCCAAGAAAATATGTGATTGAAGGCTCATCATCAACCTCTCCCAAAGTCGGTTTTTTGGATCCTCCTTGTTTCACCATTGGATCTTTTCTGTCTCTTCTTTGGGTTTTCACCCCACTTCTTTGGATAACCAAGTTCAACATAGCAGATGCACACCTTCAAGTTCCCATCTCTCTATCCTCATGCTGTTTTCTTCAGTTTTTCGAATTCAGGGCTCTTCTGTTTGGGCTTGCCTTGGATCCTTACATGTTTTGTTGGGTAGTTAAGACCTTCGCTTGGCATCTAGGTTTGTTGGGATTGTAATTTCATCATTATATGGATGACTGGCTTTTTTTTTGGCTCCTTTCTGTTCGGCATCTTCCATCCACACCCATTTGCTCTTGGAGGAGGTAGATCATGTAGGTTGGTTCACCATGGTGAAGAAGTACATCTTTGCTCCTAAACAATGCCTAGTTGGGAGTTTTCTTCAATTCCCACCCCAGTCAGCCTTAACCTTCTTCACCACATTTTTGGGATATGGAGCAGTTGATCATCAAGGCCCTATCCTCTCATTCTCTACCAGCTCGAAAGGTTCTATCTCTTTTGGGGATGTGGACTTCTTTGGAAGCTCTCATACCCCTTGGCCATGCTTACATACATTCCCTCTAAGTGGGAATTACATGGTCAATGGAACTTCAACTCCAGTCCTTTGGATCAACCAGTTGCCCTTCCTTCTTCTCTTTGGTCCAATCTTGCTTGGTGGTTGGACAGAGTCAATACTATGGCTGGTGTTCCTCTTTCACTTCCTCGTCCTGACCTGCATCTTTTTACCGATGCTTCTCTTGTTGGTTAAAGTGCATATCTCAATGCCCAGGAGATTTCTGGGAATTGGTCGTTGGAGCTCTTAGCTGTTTGTTGAGCTATGTTTCATTTTCTCCATCTTCTGAGGGAGAAGGTGGTAATGATGCATTCTTACAACTCCACAACAGTCTTGTACATAACCAGACAAGATGATACCAACTCCAGGTCCTTTTGTTTTGGGGCTCTGGAGCTTATATTCTGGGCCCATGAGCACTAGATATGGCTCTTGGCTTGCCATATTCCTTGTGCTTTGAATATTGTTGCAAATCAGTTATCACATTTGCACAAGGTCATTCCCACAGAGTGGTCCCTCAATCCTCATGTTTTCTGATGATAATGCCCTCATCTGGTAACCTCACACATTGATGCACTAGCCTCCCCTCTGAACACCAAACTATCATCTTTGTGGTCTCTGGATCCTCATCCTCAGGCTTTAGGGGTAGATGCCCTCTGCCAGGAATGGAGGGGTCTTCACATTTGTGCTTCTTACCTATATATCTTCTCACCAAAGTAATCTCCCTCATCCACACCACTTCATGTCAGGTTCTCTTGGTGGCTTCGTTCTGGCCAGTTCAGCCTTGGTTACCTCTCCTGAGACCTCTACAATTGTCATCACCTCTGCCTCTCCCTTTGTCTCCTTTATCAATTTCATTTGGGCATCTTCCACCCTGCCATTCCCATTCTTTCCCTCATGTTCTGGTCCTTTCATATTCTTTGTCCTCTCCATGCCTTTCCTGTGCCTTATTGAGATATCAGTGTTGTCCATTTTGCCCTTTTCCAAACTCCCTTTACCCTTTGGCTTCAGGTTCTCTGTATCATTTTTCCATCATGACCCATTTCCTTCTATTCCTGGCTTGTGGTTGTTGTTGGTCTGACCTTTTTGTGATAGATGTTTCCCTACCTTAATCATAGTACATATACTGTGCTATATCAGATGCCCTGTTTCTATGGTTGAGCAAGCATTCCACACCCTTCTCATAAGGCCAGGTGCATGATGTTCATAACCTGCTCTTACAGTTGAGTTAGTGTCATTATTTTCCAGCTCATAATACTGGGTCCAGGATGCTTCCTTATTTTTACAGTTGAGTTGAGGCTTAGACACAGCCCCATAAGTTTGGGTTGTTTGTTTTACTTCTTTTCTCTTATGGTAGATTTGAAAGTTTATCTGGCAGATGCCACTTGCTTACTTTCTCATTGTAATTCCAGTTGCTTGCAGTATAGCACTCTGTTCACTTACAGGAGGGACTAGTGTATATATTTCTAAGGGTCCACTATCTCTGTCCACCATACAATATATACACTGGTTTAGATTTTATGTG